AAAAAAACAACCAAAAAAACTTTAAAAGTTTTCTAAAATTGTTTAAAAATTATTAAAAACAAGAATATTACCAAAATCCAGCTTTATCCTGTATTTACTGAGCATCTACCATGCCATAAGTACTATTCTGTGTTCTCAGGATACATGAGTGAACAATAGATAACAGAGTATGTATGTACTTGAAAGGCTGACAATAATGAAATATGCAGTGATTAACACTACCAAGAAAAAGAAAGCACTGTACTGGCTTAGAGACTTATAGGCCCAAATCAATACACCAGAACTCAGATATTTGAAATAATGCTAGACATTAACTTTCCAAAGAATGGAAACAGATTGCTAAAATCTTTTTTTTATAAAATATTTTAACTCTATTTTTTATTAGTACATATGTGTCATACAGATTGATCACATTCATCCTAGGGAATTTGTACCTGTACATAAGATATCTTAAATCTTTTTTTCCCATTTTCCTGTGCTGCCATCAACCCTTCTTCCCATCCCCATTTACAAAATCTTTGCTTCCATTCTTTCCTTCCATTGCCTTTTTTCCTTTTCCATTTCATTCCTTCCCACTCCCTTATTCCCCTTCCTGTTTGAAAATGATCTTCCCACTTCCCAATATCTATCCTCCATTTTGCTCCATATTTACCTTGTGGGTTTCTCACACAAAAGAAACAATGTAATATTTAAGCTTGTGCCCGATTTATTTCACTTAAATTATGCTCTCCTGGTGCATTCATTTACCTAAACATGTCCCTTTTTATGGCACAGTAGTCCTCCACTGTATAAAACAAATCACATTTTCTTTATCCATTGATGGGCATTTGGGCTGTTTCCAAGATTTACCTATTACAAACTGTGCTGCTAAAAACCTGGATGTGCATATATCATTCTGTTATGCTTCTAATTTGGGGGTTAAGATAATAAGACAGGCAATAGCTGGGTCAAATGGAACCTCTAGTCTTAGTTTTTTGGGATTCTTTTTTTTTTTTTTTCTGCTACCAGGAATTGA